TATATTCTTGGAATCGAAGAACTCCATAAAATTTTTCTAAACAAAGATTTTATTTTCTGAAAATATTTTCCAGATATAAGAACAGGAATTCCTCTCAGAATATAAATTAACCTGGGAATAATATTCATTTTGAAAGCATTCACCTTTTAGATAGCACTGAAACCTGTGGTAAATTTTGCACATAGAAAGGGAAGAAGCACTTTTCCATCCTCTGTTCCTACACAATTTGAGGGGATCCCTTTGGCCATCAGTGTTTCACACGGCTGATAACAGTTGCAAAGATGCTGGCCTAGAAAGCAGGAGATGGTGAGTTCTAGGCCTCCCTTAGGCATGAAAGCCAGCTGGGTGACCTTGAGCCAGTTACTCTCTCTCAGCCTGACCTACCTCACAGGGTGGTTGTTGGGGGGCAGGAATAGGAGGCAGGAATATTAGGTATGTTTGCTGCTTTGAGTTATATATAAAAAAGACGGGATAAAAATCTATAATCATCATCATTCTCATTGTCGTCATCGTCGTCATCCTTGTAGTTTGCAAAAACAGTTTCGATAAGTTTGTGATGATTGTATGTTTTCTCTCTTTAAAACCACAGAAATGGATATAAGTTCCTGTACTGTTCGGCCCGTGCTATTGGGATGGCAGATATGACTCGAGGGTACTTGCACTGGGTGAACGAGCGGGGAACGGTATTACCACAAGGGCCTGTGCTGTTGAGTCCCAGCAGTTTGTTCTCAGCTTTTCACAGGTATTGCAGTACTTGGTCTTGTAACCATAGACAGTTCACAGCTAGAGAACAAAGAGATGGTCTTTTAAATTGGGGGGGGGGTGTATTTTTTTTTTCCCCTGAAATAGTTTAGGGGTTCGGCTTACTACAGAATGAACTTAGGAGGTCAACATTTATTTACTATTGCTAAGGCATGATATACTTGTATAGTGATCCTGTGGAGCGTGGTAGTAAAATACACTGTTGTCCAGTAATGCAAGTTGTTGCATTCAGTATTTGTGGACCAACTCTAGCAAAAGGTAATTGTGTGATCCTGTTGACAGCAGTGAGATTTAAGCTATTTCTGGCAGACATTTTCTATGGAATATAATGCATGTATGGATTTGAGACCTGTAATCAGAATTTACCTTAGGCCTATGGGCAAAATTGTTTTTTAATGGGAAATGTTTAAAAGCAGGTTTCCCCCCCCCAAACTTAATCTTAACAAACTTGCTTCTTATTAGTGTTGAATAAAAATAAGCTAAAAGAAACTCAACTGCCTTTTGCTGCCTTTATACTTCATGCATATAAAATATAGCAAATTTGGAAAACTTTCCCTTTCCGATTTGATGTTGTTGTCCATTGATGGAGAGGATATCAGATAACCATAAAATAATTGTAAGACCAATATATTCATCAGTAAATTAAACAATTTTTTAAAACTGAAAATTTATTCAAATGAACATGGTTCTCACATTGCTAAAACCAGCAGGCTTAAAGCAATGCAATTGGCCTTTTTTGCGTACATAGAATGAATCTTCATGTTTATTTTAAACAGTCCTATGAACCATAAAAATTTCAGAAAAGCTTGGCAGCTTATTAGTCAGAAATCTTAGTCAACTGAAATTATTCACACAGCTTAAGAAAATACACTGTGTACCATTTATAGTGTTAAAGCATTATCTTCTAATATATTTACCTTGTTTTATTTTCTTTTATTTCAGAGAAGTGATAGAGAAGAAGCCAGAGAAATTTAAAGTTCAGTGTTTAACTGACATAAAAAACTTATTTCATCCTAACACAGAACCTTTTTATGCTGCCTTTGGCAATAGACCTGCTGTAAGTACCAGTTGTGAGGATTATTCCCTAACAGCTCTTCCAAAGAAGTATTGGCACTGGAGGATTCATTTTTCAGTTTAAAAAAGTTCTCCAGATTCTGTTAAGCTACAACTCCCAGCACCCCAATTGGCCACGTTGGCTTGGGCCATTTGGAACTGTTCTTGACCATCTCAGTCTCCTGATTTGGTTCAGAAGGATACATTGTTGACGGTATCAAAAGCTGCTGGGAGATCTCAGTGCTACATCCTGGTCTGAAACAAGACTAAAAGGAGTCCAGAGAACCTATTTCCTCTAGGAATGCCTGTTGAAGCTGCAATCTGACCAAAAATTGTCCAGTTTTGCCAGATCCTGCAGTGGTTTCTTGAGGAGAAGTCAGACCACCTCCTCCTTCAGAGCTAATAGAACCACCCTCTCTCACAAGAATGTGTTCACTGCATAGATCCAACCATATCACCTCCTGGGAGACCTTGACCAACCAGAAGGGACGTAGATCCAAAACGCAGGTGGCCATACTTACAGCCCCCCCAACCCTGTCCGTTTTCTCAGGACTAACAGTTTCAAACACTTCCCAGATAATGGAACTGGACTGTCCTTCAGTCACCTCCAAAGGACTTGCAGGGCTGACATTCAGCTCAAAGTGGATCACATCCAACAGATATCTAGAGCTGTCCTCAGTGACCTTGCAGGTACTCCACTGGTCCCTCCCTGCCTGGGTGAATCACCTTAAATCTGCTGGCGGTCAATCTATAGACACAATAAGAGCAGAGAAATACATTTCACTGCTCTTATCTCCACCAGATAATCCTTAACAAAGGCTCTTATCTATGCTCACATTTACTCTTCTTTATTTATTTATTTTATTTATTTATGTTTCAAATTTGTCACTGCCCGTCTCACTGCAGAGTGACTCTGGGCGGTTACAGTAAAAACAGAATAAACATTAATTAAAATAGATAAATATTAATTAATCAAAATATGCTACAATAACAAACTTCCTATATGATGCTTCCAAGTGTCTAATGTTAATTAGGTGTTAATAAACTCAGGGAGCGTCTTTAAGGCACCAGCCATCCCCAGGGTCAGTTGTATCTTTCCTCACCCCAAGCAAGTTGGCAGAGCCAAGTCTTCAATTCCCTCTGGAAAATTGGGACTGTAGGGGCCCACCTCACCTCTGCGGGGAGAGTATTCCATCGGGCGAGGGCAACGGCAGAGAAAGCTCTCCTCCTAGGACCTGTCAGTTGACATTCTCTCACCAACGGGTTCTGCAACGTGCCTTCTCTGCTGGATTACATTGGGAGACAGTCCCTCCCCTTATTGTTTCCTAATGCCTACAGAGCCAGATCAAGCATTTTCTGAATGTTTGTGTATTCATGTGAAACTTTGCTCCTAGTTTTTAATGGTGGTGATGACTGGGAAATAATAAAAAAAGCATTGTGGGAAAAAAATAGTGGCAAATCATTTCTCTGTTAGTGCTATGAAAACAACGGTCACCAGGAGCTGAGCTCCACTTGAAGGAATCTGTACTTGTAATGTATTTTTGTGGCTTAAAATTAATATCCAATATCCAAGCCTCCAATATGAACAGTATGTAAATTTTATACACTTAAAAAAACTATTTTTGGGTTATTTTAATGAGACTCATATCTTTTGGTTATTTTATCTAGGATGTGTACTCATACAAGCAAGTTGGAGTTTCACTAAACAGAATTTTCACTGTTAATCCGAAAGGAGAACTAATTCAAGAGCACGCAAAGACCAACATTTCATCGTGAGTATCTGTCTGCTGCTTATATAGTGCAAATTTTTCTCTTTCTATAAGCCCTTGATGCTGAAAGTTACAATAGGAATTAAAATGAATTGGCTTGAAATAAATCCTCAGCGATAGGATGCATATTCCCAGCATTTACTTTGGTTATGTGTAGTGCAGTCTCTTTTAGAGATTAACATTAAAATGTAGGATTCAGAGTTTTCTTTATTTAAAAGATTGTTAAAGGAGACACACTTTTGATTTAAAAATATACTTGCAGTGATTTAAAAAATGCCCTCTTAAGGTTTCAGTAAGGTGAGGGTATTTGTGCATACAACAGAATAATCAAATTAACATTTCTAAGAAAGAGTAACTAATTCCCATTGTAGGCACAGTCCGTATACAACTTTTCTCCTGCCCAAACTTCTGTTTTCTGCTGTCTCATAAGCTGTCTATCTGTCTATCATGGTGGTATTTGAAAGTGATTATAGAGGGAAATGTAAACCTTTACTATAGATGGAATTTTCCTAGGGATTAATAAATCTGATTGGAAAAAGTAAGACCTTGTTGCTTACACTTGGATCTGTATCCTGCTCTTGCCACTTTCCCATATTCTAGGGCCAGGATAATTTCAGTTTGGCCATTGAAGGTTTTACTTTTTAAAACAGTTTTTAAAACTTTCTTCAAGAGGCCATGTTCAGAATGTTCACCTGTTCATTTCAGTAAGCTGCAGGAGATGCTATTGTAGCTGTTTTTACTTCAGTGGATTTTGTAATCTATTGTGGCTTGTTTTGTTACAAGTCTTTACTGTTCTGCTGATTTACTGCTGTTTCAATCCTACCCTTCCTAGCCTAATGTTCAGAAATAAGTTAAAAGGTTGTAGGAATGTTTTTCTTTCTAATTATTTTGCCTAAGTTGTGTTCATGCAATCCATGATATCATTAATATATTTAATAGTTCAGGTAATATCTCAATTGTTCCCTCCTCCCATTCCCCTTCCCTCCACAGGTACGTGAGACTTTGTGAAGTGGTGGATCATGTATTTCCCTTGCTGAAAAGAAGTCATTCTTCAGATTTCCCCTGTTCTGACACCTACAGTCAGTTCACATACTGGAGGGATCCACTGCCACCTTTTGAAAATCATGATGTTCATGCTAACTTGCCATGACTCTTTTGAAATATCTTGGCAGCATCTCAACATCTCAGCTCTTCTGTGCTTCAGTTGTTCAACTGGATTTTGTGCTTCAAATGGAATTTGGGATGTAGTAGTTAAATGTCAGTTCAGAAATTACCTTTGTTCTTTAAAGTAACATTTCTGAATGTTGCCCTCCCAGCTCTTCACCAGCATCATGCTCAAGAAGTACCCAATGCCATATATTATTTTTAAAAGGACAGTTCTGAGTGCCATGATACTGGGAATCTCAAAATCAAAGTCCTATATGGTCTTCAGTGTTTCCATGTGAGCTTTCAAAGCAAAGTGGTGTGTTTCCACCCTGAAGCATCACTGGAGCCATTCTACCCCCTACTTCTCAGGTAGAGGAAGAGGAAATAACTTTAAGCCTCTGAGGTGTAACACATACATTTTCTAACCCCCCCCCAATATAAAAAAAAACAGTGATCAACAAAATGTTGAGATCTAGTGAACAAAATTCAGTCTGTTGATAAGCTTACACAGCACGGCTGTCATCACTAGCACTGTACTAGTTTGTATCGATAGGGGTATGATTCTGACCTGCAGTTCTGTTTGTCCATATACCATTGCCAAATTGTTCTTTCAATTTCATTGTCATGATGAAAACCTTTTTTAAAAAAGCATTGAATGCACTTACATTCTCGGTTGCATGTGACTAGTTGGCTCTACTAAATTCAGGCCATAATTTGTAAAAAGAAACTTTGAGCCCGCTACCATTACTGTACCCCATGTTTCATCTTAATCTTGCTGGAAGGTTTGGACCCATCAGAGGTCCTTCAGTGCAATATCTTTATGGTCATAGCTAGAGTTTACTGGTATGACATATGCTTTTCAGACAGTGTGTCTTAGAATGATACTTGGCAGTAGAGTCTTCTGCCTTTCCTGGTTTCTTCTTCCATGAAGAGTGATGCCATTTAAATATATGTATGCTCTTCCCATCTAACAAATAATAGTACACAAGAGTTTCTGCTTCTAATTGCAAGAGAAACATATCTGGAAGTATTTTTAGTGAACTTCCTTGAATTGCTTCATTGCTGGTTCAGCATATTTTATTTGCACTATGTGTACTAGGATACGAGGTTTGAGGGAGGTGGCTGATTGTAAATCCTTTGAAGATTTCTCCTTGGGTTTTCTTTCTTTTTATTTTAACACCCAATTTTGAGATTAATATGATTTTGGGTGACCTACAAATAGCCATTACTGAGAGTTTTTCCTTTACATTTCTTTTTTTTTTCTTGATAGAATTACGAGAATTCATAACCTTCCTTGTTTTTGTTTTGTTTTGTAACATTTGACTGCCTTGAGATTCAACATTGTAAGTGAATATTTTAGATTATTTTTCAGAAAAGCTGCTTTTACAAGTTGCTGGCCTTCTTTAAAATGCAGGTTTCCATTGTTTATACTGTATATCAGATAATCTTTTAACAAAACAAAATTTTGTTTTCCTTCCTTTTATTAAGCTATTTCTTTTAATATTTATTGGAAGGTTGCTAGATGATCAGTTTAGGACTAGACATAATGCCAGTAGGCCTGAGACCTACTAAGTCTTTTTAAAGTTAGAGGCTGGGCAAAATTCAAATGCTGTTGAGATGGTTAGAATATATTTTAAAAAATCCTTCTCACCATGTTTTCTATCTGAAACTTAATCCTAGTATTTTTCTCTTTCTGATCTCTGAGTACATAAATACCCCTTAGAAGAAATTGTTTGGGATCCTTCTCATGCATTTCAGATATACCTCACTTGCCTTTATATAAATTCTTTTAAATGGGTTCTTGGAATTCTTTCTTTGCATTTTATGATTGCACTCCGAGTAGCTTTCAAGTACATTGGCCAAATCCAGCTAGTTAATTATAATAAAGTCAAATTACTTTCACTAACTTGACCTAAGCTGTTGTCCCATATATAATTACTTGGAAGTCCCAATAGAGTCATTGGACCTAACTTCTGAAAAAAATATAGAGGGTTGCTCTGTTATTAACTTCTGCCTTTAGCTGGATTAGGTCCAAAAACTGCAAGCCAATTTTAAGTGGAATAAGAACTATTTTAGGATTTTTTTGCCATTAAATCAGTGGTGCTTTTACTATTGATAGGGGAAGTTGCATTCAGTATCATAGCTTATTAGCGCTTTACATTTAATGGATTAATTTCACTCTGCTTCCTATAGTAGACGGGCCCTCAAATGATTATCCCATTAGCTTTATGGTGCAGCTGATACAGCTACTCAGAAATAACCCCCCTTGAGTTCAGTTCGATTTCCTCATACATTAATTGTGTCTAAAATTTGCAACTTTAATTCTGCAAGGCAGCCCACATGATAAAGTCATATGTCCTTGATTCTGTTCTCATAAGTTTGGAATGAAGATTGATTCAAATCAGGACTGTGGGTGGCTATAGCAATGGCCCAGCTAGAAGTTGGCTTTAGGTTCACGTTTAATGTCTTCTGTGCTTTTAAATTCTTTATGAATAGACAACCCTTTCTGAAGCAGTATCGCTGTTTCCTCTGTTTACTGTTCTTAGCAGTCCAAAGCAGCATATATAAAATAATTTAAAATAAATAAATACAAAAGCCAAAGGAGCATGTAAAGCCAAAACAACTCAAATCCCAAGGTTGTTTGTTTGATAGGGAAGGAGAAATGGAGCTGGGACTGAGTCCATGTCTCCCTTTCAAACTGTGTTGATCAGCCTTTTGAAAGAACTCTCATCTCTACAGCCCAAGCTGTTAAAATGGAAGAGGAATTATGTGCACATAGCCACATTTCTACATGTTGTTTTCCTTCCACAGGCATACAAGCGTGCTCTGTTTGTATTCCATTAGCTGAATTATTAATGTTTGCAATGAGATTAAACATCTATAATGCCTGTTGGTACTAACACTCCTTGCAATTGCGAAAATTTTAGGATTAAATATTATGTCTCCAGTCTGGCTAAAATTATGATGAAGATCCAGTCAATCAAACAAAAATAATTTGCAGTTAACATTGCAATTCTTACTACCCTTATCAGCAGGTAATTGATGAAGACTGAGTTGGATGCATGAGAATAGCTCTCACATTCCATTCCATTGCCCTGAATAGGGTATTGTCATTTTGCTGGCCTGTGACATGTCCTGTATGCGTTAAGTTAGTATGACTGGACGTCATACCTTGCTGGGATTAGTCAAGTGCTTTTTCCCCAAAGTATTTCTGAATGTACGTTGATGCCTAAATTGGGGCAATATCATGGGTGCATAAAGAAATACAGGTACTGATCCAAAACCAGCATAGTTTTAAGCTCTTCAATGTTACCGAGTTACTAGCTGAACAAAAAGAAATCCACTTTCCAGCTCTAAGAACGTGATTATTGATTTAGCAACATTTCATAATCCAAAAAGTCTAGCATGGGAAACAGAAAGCCATGGAAAAATGGGTTTCAATATTACCACTTTCAGAGAGACGTCTCTCTTATTACAGAACGCCTCTTTTCTTCATTTCCCTCCCTCATATACGCCGCAGCCAGGATACATGTTTGCCACTTTGTATTTGGTATTTGTTTTCTCAGAACAGAAGGGGCATGATCCAGCTAAGGTTAAACAGTAGTGTTGTATAGCACCTTGAATCCAATTCCAAAAAGGTGCTTTGGTGCAGCTGCTTTACAGGTTGCAGACAGATGCTATGCTCCTTCTCTGCTCTGGACGCTTCTTGGGGGATTGAATCTGAAACTCTGCCCAGCCCTATATTAACAGGTTTCATTCCCATTTATTTTAATACAAGAGTTTTCTAGTGCTGCTAAAAATTAGTGGGATTCATTACCTGGTACATGTAGATTGTTTTCTTCTAGCTTTTTAAGGGTGAAATTTTTCTCTTATAAACAGGCCTTATTTTTAGGACTTGTTCATAAACCAACAGTAAATATTTCAGGAATTGGACTGCCCCTGGCTAAACTGGGAATTCTTGGGTGGGTCTGCCATGATTGTAGGAGATGGTAAATCATCTCAATTAACACATACTCTACTGTGATAATATCTGAGCAAACTGGATTTCTGTGGGTAAATGTGAAACTACTTGCAGAAACCTTGGCAATTTTATTTTGTTATTTGCTGATTTTAATACACCTGGTGTCAAGTTTATTTTTTAAAAAGAAAATGTGAAAACCATCCTGCCTAAGCTTTATTAGAAATGCTACTGTATTGTTGAATGTAGTTGCTGAGAGGATCTGCAGGTATATTTCAGCTAATATTTATGTTATTGGTTGGGGAGAAATATATTTTAAAGCTTTACTGTTAAAAGTTAAAAGAAAATTAGCTGCAGATGCAGTTTCTAAATAGTTTTTAATTTGGCCAAGTAGTTCTACACACATTAAAATGGCATTGTTGAATTTACACAGTAAACATGGAATGGATGACTTAATTCTTTCTGTGAAAGAAAAAAAAAAGACCCTCTTGACTTCACTTCTAGTGTACTGATGGTTTTCTGTTACAGAAAAGATATCTTTTCTAAATAGAAAGCCAATATATGCTCTGTTTATACTGTCTCCCATCTCCTAAACTAGAATATGCAAGGTGGATCCCTGTTTATTTTGATACATTTTATGACCATTTAGTTCCATATGTTGAAAATCAAATAATGGTGATGGAATTTGAGGGCGAGTGGGAGAATGATTAATGGATATATTTGGAGAAACTATTTTCTCTGTACATGTATGCAGTAGTGCCATGACTCGATAAAAAAGATACTTCATTTTGATGGTGAACAAATGCAAATAAGATATATTGTAATAAATTCAATTCAATGAAAAATGTCATGTGGAGTGTGATTTCAAAAGAGATACGCGGGGCAAATTTCAGCCCAAGCTAAGCTCTTTAGAATTTTGCTGGAAGTCAGTAGGAAAGATTAAGCACGTACTGAAAGTCTCCTTGGACTCAATCACAACACTTGACTCTGTAGCCCTAACCATGTCTCTTCAGAAGTCTCTGAGCCAGGCATAGTCCTCAGTAATCGCCTTTAGGATTGCATTGCATCTCTAGCTGGCTTGGGTCCCCAGCTAAGTTTCCTATTTTAAGCATTATGCTTGTGAGAAAGAAAGAACTGCAAATGAAGACCAGAGAGAAGAAGAAACGTACCGCTGATTTTATTGCCTACCTAATGTAGAGGTCCGGCAAGGAGGGCATGAAACAAGTCATTGTGGAGTTGACCCCACTGCACTATTAGTGCACTTCTCTGGTGTAGCAAACATGAAGCTATTTGTTTTTTGGTGTTTCTCCTGCTGTTATATCAACCTTCTCCCCTCCAGGGGAGCTGCCCCTTTGTGCCTTTCTGTTCCAGAAACATTTACAATTTTAACGGGATGCTTTGGCCACGTGCTACGTGCCCCTTTATCCAAGCAGGTTTTAGCAGAACGACGGGTTAAGGTAGCACATGGAACAGCAACAACAGCAAAAGCGGGGCTGGGGGCGGGATTCCTCTTAATTCAGCTCTTACCAGGCATTAACTGAGAAGGATTGGAAGGGTGAGACAGGGGCTATCTGGGGTTCTCTGAGGACTGAGGTCAAGAGGTTCTAAAAACCTAAAAATCAGGTGTACTCTATGTTGACAAGAGCCTATTCAGGAAATCAATTTTCCCTGGCTTTGATCAAGGTTCACAAGCAAGACTTTCAGTTACTTATTCACTGTTTTCTAAATGAAACCTGTCTTTTGGCTTTTGTTTGCTAGAACCTTCAAAAGGTGAGTATTTTCTTTGGTGGTCAAAAAAAAGTAAATGGATTATAACAGTTTGGGTTTCTTTAGCAAACCGTGTAAGCATCCTTCCCCCTCCAAGGCTTTTAAAAGGAACTCTGAAAGTTGAGATAGTATCAAATTGGGTTAGCGCTCTATTCCAATTTTAACGTGTTGATTTTTTTCATGACTCCATCTCAGGGGTAGATATGCAACACACAAATGTTAAGCACCAATTTTAGATTGCTTTCCAGGAATAGTTTTAGTATCAATACTTTGCCAACGGTTCTGAATCTGTCCGTTTGGGGTGGGGTTGAGTAATGTGATCATCTGGGACTGAACTTCACTGGGACATATTTCCTTGTAAGTATGTGCTATACTATTGATGTTTCACATCAACCTGGTTGCAAGAGGTTGGATTTTCTTCTGGTGGTTCCTGCAGTGACTGTATGACATGCAATGTTGTGTGTCATAAGGGTAATTCAAGAAGAGCTAGCTCTCTGCAGAAAGCTTGGTTTTGCTGTTACTGTCCTGGGCTTTCTAAAAGAGAAAACAAACGAAAAACGCCTAGCCATGTAGCACAATTGAAAAAGTAAGCATAACCCTGTTATCCTTTTGAAAACTTTTTTTTGGGGGGGGAGGGAGGTTAGGTAGACTTTGTTTTGGGGTAGTTCTTGCACAGGTTCCTCTGAAGTGCAAACCCCAGATTTGATTCCAGAGAAATTGCACACTGACTTCTTTTGTATCCCTAATTGTGATTACAACTCCCAGAATTCCCAGACCAGATTGGGGAAGGCTTATTTTTAAGTGTTTTGAAAAAAATTATAACAATAGATGGAATCATCTGTGTTATGAAGCCTCACATTTTTCAAAACGAAAGAGAGCGGGATTTTTAGTAGCTCAGAAAAATTATGACTGGGTGCTGTTCATGACCTAAGCACAATTAACTTGCCAGGAAAAAATAATAAAATAAAATGTAAAATAAAATAGTCACAGAGTCAAATAAGCCCAAGCCAACAGAATGACTTAATTTGACTGCTTACGAGCTTTACTTCATCCTAAACCCAAGCTTTTTCATTGCCAAGTGAGTAAAAATCTGAAAAGAGATTTGAGTCAGCCCTGCTTCATACTTGTTTGGCCAGGATATTTGCTCCATGGAACATTTGCCAGCTGTTCCTGTGACTTGGCTCCAAAGGTTTTAAAAATCCAAAGGATGTCATTTCTAAAAACAGATACTACACTTAATTCATCCCAATTGTATCTAGGTGAGATGAAAGTGCTTTCAAGCTCCTTAATCCTTCAGGACTGCTGTATTGGTTTCTAAAGCCAAATAGGAAGGTAAAAAGGGGAGTTTTAAACAGCTACAACATCTGCGCCCAAAGTGAGAGACGGTTACTGTGCGCGACAAAAGAGAGATCATCAATCACATGAGCCTGGAGTTAAAACCATCTGGCTTCTTTGCAACAACACCAGGTGTTAGCAGCAAAGACAGACTTCCTGTGTTACAACAAAGCACAAGTATGTGGCAGGCAGAGCAATGGGGAGAGGGATATGCCATTAGTATGACGAGGGTGTAAAAATAAAGACGCGAAGAAGCAGGGCTGAGTGTAAGTGCTATTGGGTGTCCACACCTATATGGGAATGTAAGTCATTTTCTTTTTCAACAGGACTTGGGGGAGAAAAACACCATGTTAGCTTGAAATATAGTGGGTTCTGGGTAAGCCTGTTAGACTATTGACAGTCACTGTTAATATGGATAGATGCAAGTAGAGATTTAACTTGAGATCTCACTACAACAGAATCTGGTTTCCAGGCAGGAAAGGGGATGTTGGCTAATGCTGACCATTCACAATACTAAGCATATCTAAGCAAGAATTCCCTGTCACATAGAGTTGGAAGGCCCCTGGAATTCAAACCCAAGAATGCCTGATTAATAACTAGCTTTTACTTGATCACATTCAGCCAAGGGGAACCCACCTACCTTTCTAGGGAATTGATTCCACTGTCAAACTACTCTTAGTGTTAGCATCGCCCCCAACATTCAACTGGAATGTGCCTTCCTATAACGTAAATCACCCAGAATCACTTTGTATGAGATGGGCGGCTATGTAAATACAATAAATAAATACATTCATTCATTCATTCATTCATTCATTCATTCATTCATTCATTCATGCCTGGCACTCTGGATGAGAGAGCAGGTCTTGACCTTCTATTTGTTCAGGTATTTGAAGAGTGTGATAACATTCCCCCTTGGTCATTTTTATCCTTAAGACTAAACGCACTCACTTCATTCTGTCTCTTGTCACACAGCTTGTTTCTAGTCCCCTGATCAAAGTCATTGCCCTTCGCTGAACTTGTTTCATTTTCCCTGCACCCTAGTTAAACTGTAGGAACTGGCCACAGTACTTGAGCTGGGTTCTGATTGAATCAGATTAGAAGGGCACAATTAACAATTGATAGTTATTGATATGCTTCATTTCTGTTGTTTAAACCTGATTTACTAAAGTGGGATCTATGTTGTTCAGAGTTGTGCACAGTTGGAATGTCCTTTAAGCCTGCTTAAATACACCACCCCAGCTATGGAAAATATATTTCTGTTGATACAGCCCAACACTGCATTCAGCTTCTTTACAGCCACTTCACACTGCTGGCTCATATACAGTATACAGTCAACTACTAATACAAGATCTCTTTCACAGGTACCATTACCAAGTACCATCTGATCAGCGTTTCCACAAGTGAAGAACTTGTGTGTGTTAAGTTCCACTTTGTGGCTTTCTACCCATTTCTCCAATCTAAATTGTTTTAATTTTTGCTTCTGTCTACTAGTGTATTAGCTCTCACACACAATTTTGATCATCTCCAAATTTGGAAGCATTCCTTCTGTCTCAACTTCTAGCATCCCATTCAAATATTTATGAAGATGTTGAACAGTAAACCCAGGACTGATCTTTGTGGTGCCCCACTTGATTCTCAAGTTGATGAGAATTTTCAGTTTTCAATTTTCAAGCCAGTCATATATCCAGTTAATTGGCAGGCTAAACAGCCCAAGTTTAACTAGCATTCATCAAAGGCTTTGCTAAGAACATATCTAGTTATCTCAAACTATAATTCCAAGGATGCTTTGGAGAAAGTCATAACTGGTGAGTTGGAGAAAAATAGATACATATGTGTAGTATAGGTGTTCACAAGGATTTATAGTAACTCAGGTGGCCAATTTTTTCCCTATCAGCTCTTCTGTGTTTAATAGCATCTTGACATTAATAGGCAACGATATGTATCAGTATGCTGTAGAAATGAAAATGAACGTGTTGGTTTTTGAAGGTGTAACAGAAAAAACACAGAGAGTAAGCCTATTCAGGAGAAGTCGGTTGACCATCCTCATAATAGCAATCCAGTACAAAATTAAGCTAAAGCACATTAAAATCAATGTATTCTTATGCACATCTCTCTACTTTTGACTGTAACATGTTATTACAAGATGTCTGTGGCACAGTACCATGTTCCTGACAATGAAGAGCGTGTCCTGTTGCAATGAAGGATGGAGTTGCTATAGTTTTGATAAGTTATACTGTATGGAGATAAACATTTCATTTTCTATAGAATTGTCAGGGGTTATGTGTGCTTCAGAAAGGATTTGGGACGGGAGCTTTAGTTGCTTGTGTATGTACAAGTTCTGTACCTCTCCACTCGTTAATCAAAACAGTCTAAGTGTTCTCAGGGTTCTGGGTGAGCTGTAGAAATGCCACTGCTTCAAGGATTAAAGTCAGCATGACTCTTAAGCAGTGGCTTTTATGTTTCAGGCTTGCAGAGAACCCTAAAAAAGATGGGCTCCTCTCTCGACTGCTAGGCTGTAGTCTCCTTAAATAAAGTATGTTTGCATGAGCCCAAGAAAAAGCAGCTTCTTTAAGGGGTAGCCAGTAGGTAGAAGGTGGGTACCCAGACACCAAATCTCCTTTTATCTTTTGAGTAGGGATTGTTGCCCAGACCTACTCAACAGCAGAAAGGTCCTTACTCACATTCTTCTGGAGCATGTCTGAAGTAGGCAGAGCCTTACAAATGTTCTT